CAGGTTGAAGGTCACAACACTACATCAAAACTCATATGTATCAGGTTGAAGGTCACGACACTACATCAACACTCATATGAATCAGGTTGAAGGTCACGACACTACATCAACACTCATATGTATCAGGTTGAAGGTCACGGCACTACATCAACACTCATATGTATCAGGTTGAAGGACACGACACTACATCAACACTCATATAAATCAGGTTGAAGGTCACGACACTACATCAACACTCATATGTATCAGGTTGAAGGTCACGACACTACATCAACACTCATATGTATCAGGTTGAAGGTCACGACATTACATCAACACTCATATGTATCAGGTTGAAGGTCACAACACTACATCAACACTCATATGTATCAGGTTGAAGGTCACAACACTACATCAACACTCATATGTATCAGGTTGAAGGTCACAACACTACATCAACACTCGTATGTATCAGGTGAAGGTCACGGCACTACATCAACACTCATATTATCAGGTTGAAGGTCACGACACTACATCAACACTCATATGTATCAGGTTGAAGGTCACAACACTACATCAACACTCATATGTATCAGGTTGAAGGTCACAACACTACATCAACACTCATATGTATCAGGTTAAAGGTCACGACACTACATCAACACTCATATGTCATTACCTGATCAGCTGAGGAGTAATCTGGCACATATCTTGGTTCAATTCCATTTTCTAAAACAGATGATGTGGCTAAGCTAAAATCTGTCAAAATAAATATAAGAAAATTCCAGCTGTCAGATTTGAAACAGATTGCTGCAGGTAAATTGGTAAATGTTTGTCACAAAAACACTCTTGTCAAAAGTGTATAATGTACTGTTGTTGTACATTGCTGTAAGGCAATAGCAGAGTCTTTAGTTTAACAAAGCTTTGTTCACATGTGTTGTGCCAATTTCGTAATATTTTTTTTTAACCTATCTGTGCATACTTCATAATTTGAATATATGGTTAAATCATGACATTACACATATCATTCAGTAGAAAAGATAATTTTTAAGATTAGACAGAGTGGACTCAAATACTCACTGCCTGTTATGTTAAAGGATGAGTTAGGAGCTGTGGTAGATTGTAAAACCTCATATGGCATCTCAGTAATAAAATCTGGAAAATATGAAAGAAAATCAATCGGATATGAGACATGCTCAATCACTAAAACAGAAATACTTTCAAAGAATCATGTTTTTCACAAACACAATGGTTCATTCTCTCCAATAAATAAAAATAAAATCATTGTATTACAAAAATAAACAATAATATGAGTATTAGCGCAGTGATTGACAATTTCAGTATACACTTTACAATTAAATATATAGTATTACAAATACAGGAAAGTATACAGTAATAAATTGTCCACACATAAAGGTCAGATGTCAATGGTCAAAATAAGTCACAACTAATGATCCAGTATTCAAAAAAAACATTTTTTGGTTTATGTGCATTTTTAATTAATTCATAAGGAATGTTGTACTGGGAATGTTAACTTAATTAAGTATATTAAAATTGACCCTTTTTTAAAATTCTAAAATGTTTTGCGAGAGGTAGAGTTCTTCATTCAAGTTGAGATCAAAGCCATGGATTAGTGAAATGTTTATAGCGCCCTCTAGTGGTATATATTACCTTTTAATGCTGGTTTCTTTTGCTCTACATGGATGAGTCATTCATTATGAAGGTCATTTATTAGTATACTTGTCTACATCTATAGTTTCAGTTACTGCATGTAGCTACTGTCATGCCACAGAACGTTGTGTGTAAATTGTGTCACACTTACCAGAATGGTAGGAGTAGTTGGCCATTGTGTAATTCAGTGGTGGCATCAGTGGAGTCATGGCATCTGAAACAAACATACAAATTGTTAAATTACCCAGCATTCTGAGAACATTCCGTCAAATGCATTACCAATTATATCACATGAACATGACAGCCAATCAGATTGGCACATTTACAGGCAGTCATGTATTCTAATGTTAGTTTGCTAGTAGTTACAACATGATATTTAAACTGTGAACCACCCGATAGTAGCATGACTTTATACATCTCATACGTTGTCTCAGTTTACAAAAAAAACAACTAAAAAAACAGGGTATACTTTGTTGAATAATAAATAAACAGGGACATACTGAGACTTACTATTATAGAAAGCATAGAGGACAAGCCCAGTGAAGTACACCATGGGTAACATTATTAGTTGAAAAGGCAAATTTAAAGCCACTGCACTGTGAAAGAAAAATAGAATAGATGAAATGAAATGACACATGAACTGTCTTATTGAAATCACTCCATTAACACAAAGTTAGATTCCACATTAACATATACCAACACTTTATCTTTATGTCAACCATGATACGGTAATAACAGAATAATATTGCCGACTCACATTTGTGCTTGACGTAATGATTTAGATGCAGCATATCTTTGTACAGCAGTCTGACTTATGTAAAGTGGAAACGTATTCATTCCACCCCCTACAGCCAATGCCACCGCAGACAGCCTGGTTGTGATTCCAAATGGAGTTCTGTTTAACAAAACACAAATACAGTGCCAAAATAAAAATTTAACATTCAGCATAGCTTGGAATATACTAGAGGTGGTTTCCATGATGGCAATGATGTCATACAGCAATCAGCACACAGTGTTCAATGATTCTTATTTTATAGTTTGTCTGAATCTAGCCATCTGATTGGCTGAAGCAAGGTATAACTCAGGTTTTCGGTAACTGATATAAAACCTCTCTGGCCCTGGTTAGTCAGCATACATTATGGCAGGTAATGACCCTGCTTGATGTTTAGAACCTGTAAATAAAGCAACTGACAATGAGCATCCATGGTGTATACTATGGGTAGTCACACTGTGACGTCATTTGTTTACATTTTTGACAACCAGCATACATTCAAACAAATGTCACTCACTAGATCCTGATCTTGTGTAATGTTGTCAGGGAGTTGTTTTATTAAAGGGAAGCAGTGGTCTGTCTTTTGTCACTCTGTACATGAAATTTATGATCAATTAATGAATCGATTAATGGCGATAAAAACAACTTGTATGTGCTGTGAAATGCTATAAATATAGACTATAAAACGGGCTATGACATAGACACTTGTATTTAAAAGTTGAAACATGGTGAGGTGTTGTGCATATGAATGCCATAACAATTCATGTTAAGTTTCTCGAAATCCCAACTGAAAATCACAGTGTTGGTTATGAGAAATCTGCAGAAGAACTACTAGGTGAACTAAAGACACATACAACGGCCTAGCTATTAGTAAACAGTGTGTAAATAAATATTGTACGACTTAAAACTAAATTGAACTACAGTACTAATTTCATCCAACTTCCTACTTTTTAATCAATCACTCACCGCCTAATTTACGACCACACAGCAGAAAACGACTGCATTTTTATTGCTTTTTTCCTCTCGCTCGCTTATTGACTGTTCACCCAAACACTGATCACTGGTCGAAATGGTGGTTTTAGAGATACAACGAGTATTAACTATAGTATTATTAAATTCTGAATGATACTTCAAAACTATACCACTTTGTAACATTCGTGAACACAACTTGAACTGTGTCCCCTTGTTGGGTGCTTATTTGGCTGCTTGTTCTGAGTTTAGGGAATGGAATATAATATTTTATTTTTTTTATGAAATTGGGATGGAAGTGTTACTGTGGACAAAGTAACAAACAATCTCAAATAAAAATTAGTCTATGTGAATTTAGCATACATACATGTGTTCCACAAAATGCTGATGGAGCTGGATTGTGTTCTGTTTATATCTAGGACGCTCGCTCTTTTCAGTAATGATTATCGAGACAATTGAGTGAAAAGGGCAATGTTGACTCCTTTGGACCGAGAGAAGAGAAGCAAGGAAAATGTTGATGCGATTTTTATTCCAAAAATGCCAACGCCACGAATGTCCGCTGAAATTTGACATCAAAATTGAATCACGATCAGTGGCTGGGCTTGTTCTGTAAAAGTTTTCTCACAAACCAGTCAAACAGAGTCAAATTTAGTTGTTGCCGTAAATATCACGATTCCGAGAAGGCCTTTGGTACTGAAGATTATCTACTCTAGTCTGGTTTACCTTATTTTCTCAACTTGCAAAGAAAACAGAAACTGATTCGGCATGTACCCTTATGTATTTCAGCCTGGCCTTTTCTTTTTGAACTGAGGTCAAATATTACCTCTTCGTCAAAATATACCATTGCTCGAGTGAATAATTATGAAGCCTTTCGAAGCACAAGAAAAAAAGTGTGAATTGACACCAGAGATTGGAAGGTGCGACAACCTTTCAATTTGTGTCAAAAACACGCTTTGTTACAACATAATTGACCTGGGTCACAGAACAATTTATGTCCCTATCATCTACAGGATAATAATAATAATAATGTTTATTTCCAAAGTACCATAGGCCGCCGGCCCTAAGTACACTCAAAGATACATCACTAGTATATGCGGTCACAGGTTACACATGGTAAAGATTAAACAAAGATTAAATACAATAGTTAAATATCATTAAGAATTGCTTCCTCTAACAACGTTTCTCTATTACGAAAAGAATAAAATAAATATTTAGCACAATTTCTAACAGTTTGTGGATTTTTGTTGGTCATTA